CCATGCAGCCCGTCTACACCTCCGGGATCTAGTAACTATCCCCTCGGGCTGTTCTCTCTGCCCCCCGTCCCCGCCCCCGCCCGTCTCCGTCCGAGAGAGGCTCTCCGCACGGGCCTGGCTCTGCTGGGGGCTGACGCAGGGCTGGGTCCCGTGGGGGGGAGGGTTGGAGTCAGAAACAAGCCTGCGCTTTGGGCGTGAGGCTCATGCTGGCCAGGCAGAGCCTGGTTCCCCGGCCCCTTGTCCCCAGGCTGCTGGGCGCACTAGGCCGACTCCTGGGCCCCCGCAGGCGGGACCGTCCCTTCCCAGCCGTCTGTCCTCGCTCTCCTGTGGTAGAGTTTGTGCTGAGGCTCGGTGCAGCAGGGGGGCTAGGGGACCAGTGGGGGGGGGTGGAGGCAGCTCCCTGCCTGGCCTGGCACTGCAGACTGCACCCCAGAAGCAGCCGCAGCAGGCCCGGCTCCTGGGGGGAGGGGGGAAGTGCCCAGGGCTCCGCGCCCAGCTCCAGCCCCCAGCACTAGCTCCAAACCCTTCACACAGCGTGTAGTCAACCTGTGGAACTCCTTGCCAGAGGAGGCTGTGAAGGCTAGGACTATAATAGAGTTTAAAGAGAAGCTGGATAATTTCATGGAGGTTAGGTCCATAAAAGGCTATTAGCCAGGGGATAAAATGGTGTCCTTGGCCTCTGTTTGTCAGAGGCTGGAGAGGGATGGCAGGAGACAAATCGCTTGATCATTGTCTTCGGTCCACCCTCTCTGGGGCACCTGGTGCTGGCCACTGTCGGCAGACAGGATACTGGGCTAGAAGGACCTTTGGTCTGACCCAGTCCGGCCGTTCTTATGTTCTTACGTTGGCTGGGAGCTGCTGCCAGCTGCTTCTGGGGGCAGCCTGGTTTGCGGGGCCAGGAGAGGCAGGAAGCTGCTTTAGCCCCCCTCCTGCCCCAGCGCTGGCCCCCCAAAGCCGGAGCCCCCTCCTGCACCCCAAAGCTCCCAGCCCCACCCCGGAGCTCGCACGCCCGTCACGTTCTGTTGGGTCGCGGTACCGACCATTTCCTTCAGCTGGGCCATGAGAAAAAAAAGTTTGGGGAGCAGGCAGGCGGGCGACCCGTCAGGACGGGGGTGGGGATGAGAGGAGCCTGTCTAAAAAAGCCCCGATTCTGGGGACAGCTGCTCCCCCACATCCCACAGGCCGGGTGGGGCGTGGGATGAGCGAGGAAACGGCGAGGCAAGGAGGTGGAAGTGCCTGGCCCGGAGCCCGTCAATAGCTCGGGGCCTGGCTGTGGGGCGCCGTGTGTCCTGGGTCCTGCCCTGCTCTAACCACTAGGCTGTGGTGTCCTGTTCTCCCAGGAGGCACTGCTCCTGTACACAGCCTGGCCCTCGCGTCGGGCGCACGGGGAGAGACGGGGTCGGGGTTTTGACCCCCCTGGGACGCTCTCAGATAGTGGAGACGCCAGCAGGGACCCTGGGTCCAGTCTCTGCCCTTAACCTGCCGCGGGAACTCGGGCAAATCGTTTCTCCCCCGGCCTTCGGTCTGTGTCTCCCCCAGCTCTTTGGGGAGCGCCGAGCGCACGAGGGCCCCAATCCGGGGGGGACGGGGCCTCTCATATACGCAGTGATACTTCCCTGCCTGGAGGGCAGCTGGAGACAGCAGACGGCGCTCGACGGAGCCTTTCCTCCTGGCTTTTCCAGCCAGGGCTCGGGCGAGCCGGGGAGCCCCCCGCGTGGGGAGGCTGTCTCCTCGC